GGCTGCTGAAGAAATATTCACAGAGTTTGAAAAAACCGTCGTCCATTACGAGGAAGAGATCGATCGTCAGCGCCGGCTGTTGGAAATCACATTGAGCCCCCGAGTGCAGCTGCACAGAATAGGTATGAAACACAACTTAAAACTAAATTCACTTTGTTTTTGGGTCACAAAAAGAAAACGATGGAGCGACTGGTGTTATTTCCCCCTTCCTTCCTCCCCATATGTGTCCTTGATGTGTGATTTGACTGTATCTGGGCTTAAGTGTACTGAGGTGTTTCTTTTTTTCCATCTTTGTTACGTCACCTGTACGGGTTGTGGAATTGCCCCCCCCCCTTCTCTCAACCACTTTACCGATGTATTTTTTTTTTCTCTGAAGGAAAAAGGTGAGCTGCCCCACAGTCTTCCTGAACCCTGTGTCTATGTGTCTGTTTGTGTGATCTTGGACGGGCTGTACTGAAATTGAATCTCTCCACTGTGAGATCAATAAAGTATCTTATCTTTTCACATATAAATAAGAGTAAAACTTGTTAAAGTATAAAACTAGTTTTAAACAGGTGGAGTAACAGACTATGACATCACTATGGACAGCAATCTCAGTTTTGATAATCACATTCCCTTTTTTGTACATTTAATACGTCTTTCTCCATCATTTTGGACATCTGATTAGCAGGTGGGTTTCACTTAATTCAGAATACAGTAGAAAGCCAGGTTATGCTGTCAAAAAGACTTCACCCTACATTATGATAATCTGATTGGATGTATTCCTTCTTCTTTCTCTGCAGTCATTACACAGCAACTGGCCGTTGAGGAAGATGCATTTGCTGACCAGAAGTGCTGTAGTAAAGAGAGAGACTCCAGTCTGAACCAGAAGCAACGAGAGACCCCTGAGTTTGAAAAGGAAAATATCTCTGAAGTTGAGCCAGCTGAACAGTCTGTAAAATATGTTTGTAGAGAGCCTCTGAAGTCTGATACGGAGGAAAAAAAACTCCACGAAAGTTGGAAGCCATTTGAGTGCGAAACATGTGGGAAAAGCTTCCTTTGCGATCGATCTTTACTGATCCACACGGGGAGCCACAAAGGTGAGAGAAATGTTTACTTTCTATGTCTACAAACCTCTAAGAATTTTGGGCAAACATGAAAGTCCACTGAGAAGTGTTTTTCTAATGCAAAACAGGTGGAAAGAGTTTCATTTCGAAAAGTAGGCTCATAATCCCTTTGTTTATCCAGACTGGTGAGGAACCCTTATCTTGTAGAATATGTGGGGAAAATTCAAGTCCTGAAATCCCACATACTTTACTTGTAGACAACTTCTCACCAGTGAGGATCCACCATTGGATTCCTATAAGATAATCAAAAATAACTGCTTTTGTTCTTCTGTCTCTGCAGTCATTCCGGAGCAGCAGGTCTGTAAGAAGAAGGATGTCTTTGCTTACCAGAAACTCTGTAATGAAGAGAGAGATTCCAGTCTGAACCAGGAGTTACCGAAAACCCCTCAAATTAAAGAGGAACATAAGGAACTCGGCACCAATCAAGGAGCGCAGAATAAAGTGGAGACAGAGACTAATGCTTTTACGTTGAGCCCTGCTCACCAAGAATGGGACTTTGGTGAAGTAGACACAGACCGTGACCAGCCAAACTCTCAGACCTGCCCCTCAACTGAGAGGCAAAATCAGGAAGGGATGGATCCAAAAATCATGGGATCCAGCAAAAGTACAGAGATGAAGCCAAAGAATGGATTTAATGGAGACATTGGTCACAGCAACTATGATAATTCTGTCCTTTCGGAATACAAGTCTAATGTTGAGTCAGATGAACAGTCTGTGAAATCTGTTGGTAAACAGTCTTTGAGGGATAAGTGTGATGAGAAGACAGATGAACAGTCTGTAAAATATGTTTGTGGAAAGCCTCTGAGGGCTGATACGGAGGAAAGAAACCTCCACGAAAGTTGGAAGCCTTTTAAGTGCGAAACGTTTGGGAAAAGCTTCCTTTATGATCGATCTTTACTGATCCATACGAGGAGCCACGAAGGTGAGAGAAATGTTTACTTTCTACATTTACAAACTACTAACAATTTTGGGCACACATGGTAATCTACTGAGAAGCGTTTTTCTAATGTAAAACACGTGGAAAGAGTTTCATTTGGGAAAGTAAGCTCATAATCCCTATGTTTATCCAGACTGGTGAGAAACCCTTATCTTGTAGAATATGTGGGGAAAATTCAAGTCTTCTAATCCCACATACTTTACTTGTAGACAACTTCTCACCAGTGAGGATCCTCCATTGGATTCCTATAAGATAATAAAAAATAACTGCTTATGTTCTTCTGTCTCTGCAGTCATTCCGGAGCAACAGGTCTGTAAGAAAAATGAATTATTTGCTTACCAGACACTCTGTAATCAAGAGAGAGATTCCAGTCTGAACCAGGGGGTCCCAAAAACCCCTCAGAGTAAAGAGGAACATAAGGAACTCTGCACCAATCAAGGAAGAGAGCAGAATAAAGTGGAGACAGAAACTAATGCTTTCACGTTTAGCCCTGCTCACCAAGAATGGGACTTTGGCAAAGAAGACACAGACCCTGACCAGCCAAACTCTCAGACCTGCCACTTAACTGAGAGGCAAAATCAGGAAGGGATGGATCACACAATCATTGGATCCAGTACAGAGATGAAGCCAAAGAATGGATCTAATGGAGACATGGGTCACCGCAACGATGATAATTCTGTCCTTTCAGAATACAAGTCTAATGTTGAGTCAGATGAACAGTCTGTGAAATCTGTTGGTAAACAGTCTTTGAAGGATAAGTGTGATGAGAAGGCAACTGGCACAACCCCCCAAAATTCTAAAAGAAGAACCTGCACAACATGTGGGAAAAGTGTCAGAAATTCTTATTTTGCGAAACACATGCGAATACACACTGGTGAGCGACCTTTTTCTTGCGAAGTATGTGGGAAATGTTTTTCTCTAAGATCATATCTTTTGAAACACATGAAAACTCATACTGGGGAAAAACCTTTTTTATGTCCAACATGTGGGAAAAGGTTCAAAACCAGTTCGGAATTCCACAGTCACAAGAAAGTTCACTCAGGTGAGAAACCTTTTGTGTGTTCTATATGTGGGAAAGGTTTTTCTAAACAAGGAAACCTTACTGACCATAAAAGAACCCACTCAGGTGAGAAACCTTTTGTGTGTTCTATATGTGGGAAAGGTTTTTCTCATAAAAGTTCTCTTACTGTCCATAAAAGAACCCACTCAGGTGAGAAACCTTTTGTGTGCCCTATATGTGGGAAAAGTTTTTCTCGAAAAGATTTTCTTGATGACCATAAAATAACCCACTCAGGAGAGAAACCTTTTGTGTGCACTATATGTGGGAAAGGTTTTTCTCGAAAAGGAAACCTTACTCTCCATAAAATAATCCACTCAGGTGAGAAACCTTTTTTGTGCACTATATGTGGGAAAGGTTTTTGTCAAAAAGGAAACCTTACTCTCCATAAAAGAATCCACTCAGGTGAGAAACCTTATATGTGCACTATATGTGGGAAAGGTTTTTCTCGAAAAAACAATCTTGGTGTCCATAAAAGAACCCACTCAGGTGATAAACCTTGTGTTTGCCCTACATGTGGGGAAGGTTTTTCTCATAAAGGTTCTCTTAATGTCCATAAAAGAACCCACTCAGGGGAAAAACCTTTTGTGTGCACTATATGTGGGAAAAGTTTTTCTGCCAAAAAGCCTCTTAATCTTCATAAAAGAACCCACTCAGGTGACAAACCTTTTGTTTGCCCTACATGTGGGAAAGGTTTTTTTCATAAAGGTTCTCTTAATGTCCATAAAATAACCCACTCGGGTGAGAAACCTTTTGTGTGCACTATATGTGGGAAAGTTTTTTATAAAAAAAGTTCTCTTAATATCCATAAAAGAACCCACTCAGGTGAGAAACCTTTTTTGTGCACTATATGTGGAAAATGTTTTTCTGTAAAATTTAATCTTGATATCCATAAAAGAACCCACTCAGGGGAGAAACCTTTTGTATGCACTCTATGTGGAAAATGTTTTTCTGTAAAAAGTTCTCTCAATCTCCATAAAAGAACCCACTCAGGCGAGAAACCTTATATGTGCACTATATGTGGGAAAAGTTTTTCTAAAAAAAGTACCCTCGTTGTCCATAAAAGAACCCACTCAGGTGAGAAACCTTATTTGTGCACTATATGTGGGAAAAGTTTTTCTGCAAAAAATCATCTCAATGTCCATAAAAGAACCCACTCAGGTGAGAAACCTTATGTGTGCACTATATGTGGGAAACGTTTTTCCGTAAAAAGTTCTCTTAATCTCCATAAAAGAACCCACTCGGGTGAGTGATCGCTTTCTTGTGGAATTTGTGGGAGAGATTTTAGCCTGGACTAACAATTGAAATTTCATGAAAGAGTCCACAAAGATAGAAAAAAGTGTTCATGATTTGTGTGATGGACGCCCCATGTTTGTATGGGTTTACCCCCACTGTCAGTTGTTTTAGAGTTTGTGAATTCTTAGAGGCTTAAGGTGAGACTGAGACTGCTGCCACGGGCCCGATGTTTGTTTGACCAGCCCGTTAAGGTGAAGTTGGCCGGATTGAGGCCGAGACAGGTGGTCACCCTGAGAGCCAGATCACATCGTAAAGTTCTCCGTGCATGAGGAAAGGGAGGAAGGCGGGATTCTTGCAGGGTGGACCAATGAGAGGCTTCTGATGGGAGACTGGGTAATTCGGGTTCTTACTTACAACACCGAAGTAATTATGTTAAATTGCATGTGTCTACAATAAAGTTTGACATTTTAAAGGAAAAAAAGGACTTTGATCTTGAGCATACTCCGTTTAAAATATTAAATGCGTAAACATATGATTTCTAACATGATTTGCAAAGGAAACCCATTTATGAACTTTGATTTCTGTGAAATGTTGGTGGACTGCTTTATTGGTCTGACATGTTGATGGCAGCTGCTCAAAGAAACATTTAGTGTCCCTGTGCATATTCTGCGCTCCAGAAACCAGCCCCTGGCCCCTGTGACGTCCGATCCATGCAGTAAATTCGGCTTATTATTTTATTTAAAATTAAGGATAGTATTCACAAACAGTTGAAGTAGTCGTAAGGAATAAACCACAGCTCTAAAGTTTAAACTGATCTTTGTTTGTTAAAAATGTCTTAAACTCTAACTTTAGAAACTTTATTCAGAGAAAATATACAAGACATTATCAATGTAATCTAACTTTTTTAATTGTTCCTATCATATAATTGATCATTATTTTCACTTTCCTTCGAGTTTTAAACCTAGGTTTTATATCTATCTTCAAATAGACTTCCCTAAATCCAAGGATTCTTAAGTTTCCTGTCTGTAAAGCAGATTCAACTTCAATCTGTGGATTATTATCATAGCAGAAGTTTTTGTGGCATTACACACTGATGGAAAACCTTGGAAAGTTGTTTAACTACAAACATAAACGTTTTTTGTTGAAGAAACAGCTTAATATTCAAGTTTTTAATCAACACAAAAAGATCTGTAATGACAAATGTTCAAAGTGGCGTCCACCGTCGGACTATTTAGCCCGTAACATTTTTTTTTGTGAAGGACGCCCCATGTATGGGTTTACCCCCACTCTCAGTTGTTTTAGAGTTTGTAAATTCTTAGAGGTTTCAGTTTCAGATGCAGTTCACATGAAATTTCCCACAGCTGTGAAGTTCTGTTTCTAATCCAAATGTGACTGAAAGAGGTTCAAATCATAAAGTGGTCTGAAAAATGTTCTGTATAAACACTAATATAAACATTAAAAGCTGTCAACACATAAACACTTGTCATTCGCGTTTCATCCATATCAGTAACAACAGAAAAAGCCAAGACTTCAAATTTAATGACCAAAACAGAACTCTGCAGCATTTTTGTCTAATCTTTTCAGGCTTGTTAAAGTGTTAGTCTGTTTTGATTTTTGAACATTAACTCATATCGTCTACTTAAGCGCTATTAAAACAAATTTGAAGTGTGATTTCTCTCTAGATTTTTCTCTAGATCTGAATGGACCTCTTCAATGACATGTAGACGTTTGCTGTCAGAGTGCCATGACGTTGGTTGCGTGTACGCGTGCGACTGTATATTATGTTTGTGTGTGTAAACGTTTGTGCAAATGTGCATGTAGGCGCCTTTCTGACTTTGTATCCAAAAACGTGAGTTTGTCTTGAGTTTAAGAGGGTCAAATGCATTTTTCAGCAAAAATAGTTAAACTCTGAGGCCATTAAGAAAGTTCACCTGCTTTTGACTCAATAGAAAAACCACAGTTTCAATGATGTGATCTGATTAATGACACTGAGGACCATTTGACTTGTGTTAGTTTTTATTCAGAGTCTTTTCTCTTATTTCAGAGGACATGTCCTCTCAGGTGAGACTGAGACTGCTGCTACCGGCCCGATGATATTCGTATGTAACAAATTTCTAAAGCTATAACTTTAAAAACTGTATTCTAACAGAGAAAATATACAAGACATTTTTAATGTAATTTAACTTAATGTAATAGTTCCTGTCATCTAATCCTATTTTCAGTTGGTTTACTCAAAGTAAGCGTTGCCAGTTTTTATTGTCTGACCTCCGTCGCGTTTCGTTTTTTCCTTCGAGTTTTACACCTGGGTTTTATTACTATCTTCGAATAGACTTCCCTAAATCCAAGGATTCTTAAGTTTTCTAACTGTAAAGCAGTTTCAACTTCAAATTGTGGATGTTTATCATCGCAGATGTTTTTGTGGCATTACACAC